TAGCGCTTTCGTATTGCCCGCCGCCGCTTTCTCCGTAACCTAGCTTTGAGGCGACGACGTTCTTCGCCGCTATAGCTTTGTTGGTTATGGCTGATGTAGCTGAAGCTAACTGCTCTGTGTAGGTGCTCGGTTTCCTCTCCTGTTTCGTCTCATCTCTGGTTTCCTCAAAATCATCTCTCTCTTTAGGACGAGATAGTTCCGGTGAGAACTGATCATGAGTTCCGGTCGGTAAGTCTCTTCCCAACCCAGTCTCTGCTTTCACATCATCACTTCTTCTCTGAAAATCTTCCCCGAGACCAGCTCTTGATTCTCCTCCAAGTCTTGCCGGAGAATCCTTGCTGATATCAGATTCGTTCTTCAGACCAAATTCTTGGCTTCTCGTCGGTAAGTCTTCTCCAAATCCTTGTCTTGATTTCTGATCAGGAGACTCATCAGTCACTTTCATCCGACTAAGAGACTCAGCAATCTCTGGTACTCCAGCTTCTCCACCTTAAACACAACAGACAAGAGTTATTACAGATTCATAAACATAAAACGCGATCTTTATATCTCGGCCAAAGTCATTATCTTTATGCGTGGGATCAGTAACTTTGGACTGATAATTAGATACACCACTAAGATAATCCGAACCTCCTCCAGGAGCAGACAGTGCCTCATGTCCGTAAGAGGTATCTTGTAATGAAACAGGCTCAATGGGTTTGGTGTGCTCGGAAGACACGACAGGAAAAACCTTTGTTCCTGGAGGAACAATCTCCTCCGGTGCTGGAACATTAGTTTCTCCGGTATGACTTAAAGACTCAGGTTTACCCGTTACACCACCTCTTACGGCAGAGGATTCATACACTGTGTATACACATAAAAAAAAAAAGAGAAACCGTTAATACCCAAAAACAGAACTACTAAAAATCATTTGTACTGGAATAAATGATAGATTGAAGAGGAATGAAGAGAAATTAACCTGGTGCTCCGTGCTCTTCTGGGTCTTGCTCGTCATACTCATCTTCTTCTTCTTCAACATCGTGATCATGACCATTGCCATGTCTAGTGAGACTGTTCTTGATCTTCTTAGCTTTTCCTTTACTTTTCTTAACACTTTAGATGCTCGCTTATCATGATGCCTCGTCTTCCTCTGTATCCGAATCACAATTAAGTAAGCAAA